GGAGGCTGAGATAGGAGACTTGCTTGAGCCCAGGAGTTGGAGGTTGCTGTGAGCGTGATGCCATGGCACTCTACCCAGGGGGATAGCTTGAGGTTCCGTCTCAAAAAAAAAAAAAGATGAAATATTGTAGAATTGTTAAAAATGACAATTATAGAACACATATTAAAATGTAGAAAACTAGGGCCGGACATGATGGCTCTTGCCTGTTAATCCTAGCACTCTGGGAGGACAAGGTGGATGGATTGCCTGAGCTCATGGGTCCGAGACCACCTGAGTCAGAGTGAGACCTTATCTCTAAAAATAGTAGGGCATTGTGGTAGGTGCCTGTAGTTCCTGCTTCTAGGAAGGCTGAAGCAAGAGAATGGCTTGAGCCCAAGAGCCTGAGGTTGCTGTGAGCTATGACACCAAGGCACTCTACTAAGGGTGACAAAGTGAGACTCTGTCTCAAAAAAGAAAAAGTGTAGAAAACTATAATAGGTGAAAACAACAGAAAAGTTAAATAGTATAAGCACAATGTTTGCGCCTTAATATAATATTTTTACATCTGGAAGATAATAGGCAAAAATGAGGTTAGTTACCAGAATGATTAAAGATATACAGATAAACATCACTGAGATATTTATAAAATGTTCTTTAAAATGATTGTTACTAATTGTTTCAATAATTAACATAAACATGTAATACTAGATCCTAGTTTTCAGAGTTAACTCTAGTAATTTCTAAATCAATAAAAGGCAGTTTTACTTTCTGAAATATATTAGGATTTGAAATGCATGAGGTTTTTGAGCTGCAAGCAGTCATGCATAGCTTTTTTCTCTGACCACTACATGGGACTTAAGGACATAGGCAGACAAACAGAAAGTCTGCGTTCCAGAACCAGATTCTACAGGCATGTGTGAGCTACTCCAGCAGATGTGTTGCATGTACATTTTCAACCATATTATTACATACTCTCTGCATATTCAATATACCCACAATGTTATCATTTGAGGAAGAGACTTTTTAGGTGCCATCTCTTCTAGATGGGGCTTATAGTCCCTGAGGAGTGATCTCTGGAGGGTGTAGTTGCTTCTGCCTTTGTAAAGGAGGTCAGGAGAGCTGCCAAGTGTGCAGACCTCTGGGACTCTGCTTCTGTGAGTGCGGCACATTCACGAGAGCACCTTCTCTGAGCTGACCTGCCTGTGCTATTATTTGGAACTTTCAAGGCGATGGATTGGTGCCCCTGGCAGTCTACAGTCCTTGCTGTTGGAGGAGGCATGGAAGATGGATGCTTACACATGTTGGATTTAAATGCGAGGACGAGCATCCAGACCCCAAGCACAAATTCACAGGTAAATGTGTCCTCTGGAGTTCACTTTTATTCTAATTTTCTAAAATCTTGTGAAAGTAATTGATGATAAAGCATGGGACCCAAATGCACCTCTTTTTACCTACTGAATCTATAAAGAGTGTCAGTTCTCAAGAGTTTCTTTTTCATACAACCTCTCCGTCTGTGAGTCCAAAGCTAATCATTTGTGTTTTCTTTTGTTCACATTTGTCTTCTTTCTCATCACTACTTTGGCTGTGAAATTTGAGAATTATCTGGCTATTACAGGCCCATGACCATAGTTCACTTGACTTTTTCAGTTCATTGCTCCTCAGCCTCTCTATACACTTGGCCCTTTGTTGCCTTGGGCTAAGCTTTCCTAGAGCTATTATAATTTCTATAACACCCTAACGCCAGCTGTATGGGAGGATGGTAGTGGCCACAGCAGATTGCCTACAATAAGTTTAAGTACATTCGTAATGAATCAGAAATTGCTATAATGCTCTGTTTTTGTGGTCATTATTACAGATTTGTTCCTTAATCTGGCTACCTAAGACCAAGGAGATTGCAACTGGCCAAGGTATTCCTAAGAATGACGTGACTCTGTGGACCTGTCCCACTCTGTCCAGATCAGGTGGGTTTTTTGGTAAGTAAATGATAAGTAAAATGCTCCTATAGCAAAGTGAGCCATGGGTGGGAAAAGCCTCCAATGAAAGATTTTCTCAGTCTGCTTCTTTGAAGTATGTATTTCATCAGAATGGAAAAGTGAGCTTACACCCAGCATGCCTCAGAGAATGTAGAGATGAATGTTTCTGAATTTGACTAAGATTGTTCATCACTTAAAACTGTCGAATCTTCTCCCCTTGCGTACGTGTATGAATGACGAAGTGGTAATCTGGAGCCGTTTTTGACCTGCGTGTTTGAGCTCTGAAGTAAGTGTCACAAATCATCTTATTTCAAAGGAAAACCAGTGGTGCTAGCAAGTGTGGAGGACAGGAGATCTGAAAGGGTGACACATTGTTACACACGTATGTGGGGAAGCCACAAGAATCAGCGAGCCTCCCCCTGTGAAGCCCTGCCCTTGTGAGGCAGACCACTGTTCTTTCTCAGCTTCCTTCCACAAACTCGTACTGGAAACTTCTCAAGAGAAAGACCCCATGATGGGGAACCAGACCCAGGCCCTGTCCTCACGGTCTTAAATCCTCTTAGGTACCACCTGGAATGTTAAGGTGGCTGAGGGTGAGTAGGTATCTCCTGCCCAGCCCAGGGAAACAAGAAGACAAAGGTGGTGCTGAATGAGGGCTTAGAACGCTGGTCTTGGGTCTCCTGTAGAACTCCGATTCTGTATCATCTCTGCTTCCTCTCTCCACTCACCTAGCTTCCTGGTCAATCCTTGGGAATTATATATTCATTATCTATTTATTAAGTATCTACTATTTGCCCAGAACTTTTGGGGGTGCTGGAGATATACAGGTAAATCAGAGAGGCAATGTTGTTGGCCTCATGGAGCTTACAGTTTTCTGACAGGAGATATACTGAAAATAAATACTGCATATACAATTTTAGGTCATGATAATACCATGACTCTCTTCAGAAATTCTGAGAATGTCATTTGGCAACAATAAAACACCTTTCTCAGACTTCCTGCCTGTGCTGGTCAGCCCAGCTGGACTTCTAGTCAGCCTCAGAATGACCTTTATATTCTTTCTCCGTGACACCATGTGGGGTGGTAAATAAGGATACAGGCAAGTCTGGACAGAGCTACTCCGGTGGCCAGGTACAAATGTAGCAGAAGCATAAGTTTACACTTGCCATGTTTTTAATAATAAAATATGCAATTCCCTAGACCTTTTCAGATCAGAAAAATATTTTAAATCAAACCTTAAATCCTGGTTCTTTTTTTTTTTTTTTTGTAGTTTTTTGGCCAGGGCTGGGTTTGACCCCGCCACCTCTGGCATATGGGGCTGGTGCCCTACTCCTTGAGCCACAGGCACCACCCAAATCCTGGTTCTTTACAAAACTACAATTCCAGCAGCTGTGTAGGGCCTTCAGCGAGGTGGGGGCATGTGACAGATGCGCAAATCAATTTGCTCATTGTTGGAATCAAGAATGAAGAATGTACTTATTAGGTGTGTTTCCTTGTTGCCCTGGCCTTAACAAGTTACTACATATGTGTATTTTAGCTTTAACTTCTGGTGAATTTTTAAATTAATATTAGACAGAATTTCAAGGAGTACAATTTAGCCATTTCTCTTCTTAACACGTTTATGGTTGGAGAAGATAAAGTTACTTTTGAGCTCGTAGATGCTCATTTCCATCTCTGACCTAGTAGTTTGTTCTATATGCAGAATTTCTCAAAAGTGGCTAGCAGGACGGTTGTTATCAAAAAAGTATCATGTGGTCAGATAAGTTTGGAAAGTCACGGTTAAACAAGAATAGTTTTTATTTCTTTGGGACCTTTCAAAAGTGTATATTATATATGTTGTACATCTGCACGAGAAGGATATGGCATTCAGTGTTTCCCAAACACATCTGGGGACTCTTCTGTAGGGGAGCATCTTGAGGGGCGTGTTCCATGAACACACTTTAGGGAGCACTGTGTGGTGTGGGACTGCTCAGGGATTTAATTTCCACGTGTTTCCACTGTGGGTGAAGGACAGCACTCTGGACATCCTTCCTGGTGACTGAGGTCCAGATCAGGTCTTCTAAACTGGGCATTGTGACCCACTGGATTATGTATGTAGTGCCTTAAGACCAGTATTTTAAAAAACAATGAAATACAATAGTATAGAATGAAAAAAATGGTAAAGTAGGTATTATTTTGTGAAACTTTTACCTTAGTTACGTAGTTCATATGAGTATATACGTATATGTGGAGTTGCTACATAAAATGTAATTTTGACTGTGGGTTGTGGGCAAAAGTTTGGAAACAAGATATTCTAGATTCTGGTCACACCTTTACTGAGCCTCACCCTGTTAACCATAGTCCTGGTTCTGTGGGGAAAATTCAGTTAAGGAGGTCTCACCCACCCTTCTATAGCAGAAAGACAACTTATAATTGTGCCCACTTACTAAATAATTGTTATTTCTCAGCGTTCTCCCAGGAGTAGGTAATTTTCTAGCTTACAGGTGAGATCTGGTCTTTGACTTGGTTTCATCAATTCACAGTACCTGTATCGATACACGGTCTCATGTATGATGATAGCTGCTTAAAGAAAACAAAATTTTCAATGCTTTCAGTGATGTGTATTCCTGGAGTTTGGGAATGTAAACCCTAAAAAATGACCTTTGTCTGAGATAAAGATGACATTTTCCACTATCTAGTAAGTTAAGGTCATCGTGTGAGAGACAAGAATGCCTTTGCTTCCAACTCAAATTCCATTGTCCTAACAAGGCTTAGAAGTAGCTACCATTTTTAATTCAAGATAGTTTTCAAGGCATGCTTTGGAAAAAGTTTGGGATTTTGTTGTTGTTGTAGTTGTTCCTTCTCCCTCTTCCTCTTCATCTTAACACAAAAGAATGAAGGCATATTTATCACCTATTATCCTATTGTATTTATTAAGTAGACCTTTCTTAGGTTTGCTTTAAAAGTATTAGTGCAATGTTTTGTATTTACCTCTTTTTTGTTTATTGGTGTGCGGTGGCTATTCACAGACACCATCCATCATTGTATTCCATGCCTCGTGGGCTCAAACAATCCTCCTGAGCAGCTGGGACTACAGCTGTGTGTGCCAGGGCACCCAGATCTTGTATTTATCCTTTTACAACAACTAAATCCAGTTACTTTTCATTTATATGGTTTTAATTTTTTTTTTAAATAACAGTGGCCTTCAGTAGAAAAAGAAATTATTTCTCTGAGTTTGGAGCATGGTGCATTGAACTGGATCCTCATTCTGGTTCTGCCATGAATTAGCTTTGTGATCGTGGGCAGGATATTTCATATCTCTAAATGTTTGTCTTCACCTATAGAATAAGGGGGCTGCATTTTATCTATGAATATAAATGTCCCAACACACCCAGGGCCAATCCCATGTCCCCTTGGGGGCATCTCTCAGGGGTGTGTGTGTACACAAAGAGCATTGCGAGTGATGTGTATAGATGAAGCAATCCTCCAAGTATATAAGGTGTGTCTCCTTCCAGAGTGGAATAGTGTTTTCACACTCCTTTCTGCTGAGAATCTTGTATCAGAATACAGGATCATTCCTGAAACTCCAGCTCTCAGTTGAGTTGTGAGCAGTACCAGTCCTTTGAGGAAGTGATCTCCTAGCTCATTTGATTTCAGTTGTGCCCCCAAATATCTAGCCACTCACTGTCTTATCTGATCTCCTTCCCACCTGTACTCTTCCAGCCCCAGCTTCCTTTCATGGAGTCAGCTTAATCTATTTTGCCATAAAATTTTGATCATTAACTATTGTTGGAATAGGACAGATTTTTCAAAGCATTTTCTAAGTGAACACTAGTTCCTTGAGATGCTCAAGTCAAAAGGGCTCTGTGGTCCAATCAGTCTGAGAAGTGCTGCCTATCGTGGCCTCACCTCCAAAATGCATGTCATTGCATTATAATATAATGCATGTCATTGTCCTAACATAAAGAAATCCTTGAAATAAGAAAAAATGTTCAATTTTCCTACCCCAAAGCTTCCAAATTAATGTGAACATTAAATAGTCTCTTCATTTTTAATACCAATTAACCTTGGTATAGAACTAGTGTGCCATGGAATGCTTTTTGGGAAATAGCCAGACAACAGGAGGGTATTGTCTCTAGAATTTCCTAAGTGAGATTCATGCATGTTTTATGGGAGAGCTTTTAAGGCTCTTTTTCATTATAATGCATCAATTTGTTTGATTAGTCCTCTGAAACCTGGGTCCTATGGGGGATGGCTTTTGGGGGAGTGTAGGCTGCATGGCAGGAGCCCGGCGCTGGCATTCCTGGCCATGCATGGTTGAGAGAAGACAGAACTAAGGAGAGCGTGGGGCACTAGTGGTATGGCAGACAGAGAAATGGTCTCCCCAAAGATACCCACATTTAATCGCTGGACTCTAGGAATGGGGTGCTATTTAGAAAAGTTATATTTGCACATGTAATTAAGTTAAGGACCTTGAGATGAGATCCTCCTGACAAGTGTCCTTATCAGACTCACACAGGAGGAGGCCAAGTGACCACAGAGCCAGAGACTGGAGTGCTGTGGCCACAAATCAAGGCTCCCCAACAGCTGCGAGAATTAAAAGAGGCCAGGCACAGTCCAGAGCAGCGGTTCTTAACCTTCCTAATGCCGTGACCCTTTAACACAGTTCCTCATGTTGTGGTGACCCCCAATCATAAAATTATTTTCATTACTACTTCATAACTGTAATTTTGCTACTGTTACGAATCATAATGTAAATATCTGATATGCAGGAGACCCCCAAAGGGGTCACGACCCACAGGTTGAGAACTGCTGGCCTGGAGCCTGTTGAGGGGGTGCAACCCTGAGGACCCTTGGAGTTCAGACTTCCTGTCTCTAGAACTGAGGGAATCTACTTCTGCTGTTTTCAGCCATCCAGTTTGTGGTGTATTTGTTGTGGTAGCCACAGGACACTGGCATGGGGTGGGCAGGGGGAGGAGCACTGAAGGGGAGATGCTGAAGAGAAGCCTCAGCCACACGGACAGCTTTGACCGGCTAGCGCTGGCAGGTGTCTGCCTGCACGCTCCCCTGGTGGGGGAGGGGAAGCCCTGCATTCCGGGACAGCAACAGCCCTTGGCATGCACAATGTGAACTGTCTTTCCCTCTTCCTGCAGGCCACACAGGCAGAGTGCTGCACCTGGCTTTGAGTCCTGACCAGACCCAGGTGTTATCTGCAGCAGCTGATGGGACAGCCTCTGTGTGGAAGTGCTACTAGTCATGCAGTCTCCTGAAGCTTGTTTTCTCCTTTTTAAGTGAGGACAATAACACTGGCCATGTCTCCTCTCCTTTTTAAGTGAGGACAATAACACTGGCCATGTCTCCTCTCCTTTTTAAG